CCCCAAAACCCCAAAACCCCAAAACCCCAAAACCCCAAAACCCCAGCTGAAGTCCAGAGGTTGAAACAACAACGACCTTTCCTAAACTAAACTTTCTCATAACAAGGCAAACCTAAAATCCAGGTAATCTAATTGTGAATAACTGTGGGAACTTTACTTTTATTCTGGAATTTATTCATTTCGCAAACAAATTATTCCGACAGAGCGCTATGATTTTCCTCCACCACATTGATGTGGGAAAGCTCATGAGTAGCCAGTTGTTCACCCACTTTGGAGGAGGAAATCTTGCATTTGTGGACATTAAGGGTCTTGAGGGAGTCTTTGAGGGAGGAGTTCTTGATGGCCACCACAATCTTTTCAAATCTGTCTGGATACTTGTCCCACTCCATGTTACACCAATCGTGGTAGGCGCAACTTTTGAAGCTCAAGTATTCAAGTTTGGAATGGGCAGTAGAAGAAAAGTCGAGGGAGTCTGAGGTCAGAATTTTGCTTGCAACAAAACTGAGTCTCTCTAAATTGGAAGAAGCCTTGACTATCTGACTCAGGTCCTCCCCACTCACTACCAGATAATTCAAGTACACTTCCTTTGTGACGTGGGGCAGCAGACTCTTCAGCCCCTTCATCAGCCCGCCCACTTCGATGGTGTTGCTTCCGCAAGGCCCAACACGGTCCAAATTTAGGTTGAACAGTCTGAGGGGAGAGCTGACTGAGTTGGCCATGAAGGGGTTGAGAATAGCTTCCTGGTTGTAGATGGCTTTGAGACTGAGTCTGTTGATATTGTGGAGGGGATACTTGGTGTCCCCCATTGCCTTGACTAGTTTCTGGGATTCTTCTTTTTGCATGTCCAGAAAGAGGTTTTTAGAATTAGGGTCGAAGTCTTTGCAAATACCTGCAAGTTGGTTACCGAGGGCTTCTCTTGTTTCTTCTAGTTGGCCTTGGCTTTCTTTCACCTCTACAAGTCATATCTTATAAACTTTACCTTCGCACAACTTGGATATTTCTTCCTGGTCTTTGTCATGTTGTAGCTTGGATTGCTTAATCTCCTCTAGTTTGGCCTTTAAATCCTCCTCAAGCTGAGTCTTGAAGTCTTTCAGGTCTTTGTTCTCATCTTTCAATGAGGCGTTTTCAGCAAGAGCGTCGTCTTTTTCTTTCTTGGTATCTTCGGTATCTTGACGTGCTTGGTCTGTGGCTTCTCTCTGTTGTTCAAGCTCAGTATCCTTCGTATTATTCAGATCTTTCAGGTTCTGGATCTCATCTTTGAATTCTTCGGTGAGTCTGGCCTTGCACTGTTGCTCAAATTGTCTTGATTTGGTACGGAGCTTCTTCTCCATCAGCTCTATATTTTCTTTTACAGCAGCATCAATCTTTTCTTTGACCTTGGTGGCAGATGACAAGACTAAACCTGACAAGGAAGAGCTTACCGCTACCTATCTTGGGAAGGCTGTACAGGCTGGCATCTCTGAACGTTGACAAGTACAAAATATCTTTTACGACTTGGCTGTCAGACATCTGGATTTGGACCCTAAAAAGGTTGGCAAGTTTAAGTGAAAGCACTCAAAGATACGAGGGCATCAATTTAACAAGCAGAGGAGAAACTTACTGTCTAATCTGAGCCTGAAGAGTGTCAAATTGTTCGAAATGGTCGTGAGTAATCGCATCTCTTATTTTCTTCTCGGTCTCGACTAGGCTATCCTGGAAATCTTTCAGTTCACCGTTAAAGTGAGGGCTGTATGCTCTCAGACCATTCTCAGCTATGAGCTCGTACAGTCTCTTCATAAATCTCTTGGTCTCGATCACATCAACATTGAGGTCTGACAGATCGTGGATGATATCCAGCTGGCATTTGAAGTGCATCTTATTAGCACAGCTTCTGCATGACTTCATCCTGTGACATTTGCAGAAGTACACTCTGTCTTTCTTGCATGCAGGGTCACTTCATTGAAACCTATTGCATATTAACACATTTGGATGTCAATGGTTGAATCCTGGATCTAGAAGACCTACTTTTTGCGGGTGGCATTTACGGCTTCCATCTTTGGGAATAAAATCCAATAATTAAGAAAGGTAAGTTCAACCGTGATTTATACCTGTGGGGTTTTGGGGTTTTGGGGTTTTGGGG